CACGGATCCAGAATCATCAAAGCATCATTCAAAACAAAGAAGGAGAGGATCTTAATGAATATTATCCAATGTTATGTACCCACCAATGATAGCAACGACGAAATTAAAGATCAGTTCTACGAGCGGCTACAGTCAATCATTGAGAAATGCCCAAGGAAGGACCTAACTATTCTGATGGTAGATCTAAATGCCAAAGTCGGAATAAACAACACTGGATATGAAGACATTATGGGACGACATGGACTGGGAGAAAGAAACGAAAATGGAGAAAGATTTGCAAATCTATGTGCATTCAACAAATTGGTCATAGGAGGCACAATATTTCCACACAAGCGTATACACAAGGCTACATGGATCTCACCGGACCACACTACAGAGAACCAAATAGATCATATTTGCATCAACAAAAAATTCCGAAGGACAATGGAAGATGTGAGAACCAGGAGAGGTGCTGACGTAGCTTCAGATCACCACCTAGTTGTAGCCAATTTAAAACTGAAGCTAAAAAAGAACTGGACAAGTGGACAAACAGCAATACAAAGGTTCAATACAGCCTTCCTTCGAGATACTGACAAACTCAATGAATTCAAGATAGCTCTCAACAACAGATTCCAAGCCTTACAAGATCTACTGAAGGAAGAAGAAACTACTATGGAGGACAGCTGAAAAGGTATCAAAGAAGCACTAACTTCAACGTGTCAAGAGGTTCTGGGTCTAAATAAGCACCATCATAAGGAGTGGATCTCTACAGGAACACTGGACAAGATCAAAGAAATGAAGAACAAGAAGACAGCAATTAACAACAGCCGAACACGAGCAGAGAAAGTCCAAGCACAAGCTGAATACATAGAAGCAAACAAACAAGTGAAGAGGAGCATTAGAGCCGACAAGAAGAAATACGTGGAAGAACTAGCAGCGACGGCAGAAAAAGCTGCTAGAGAAGGAAATATGAAACAGCTTTACGATACAACGAAGAAACTAGCAGGGAAATACAGTAAACCAGAGAGGCCGGTCAAAGACAAAGAAAGCAAGCCAATCACTGAAATTCAACAACAGCGGAACAGATGGGTAGAATACTTCGAGGAAATCCTGAATAAGCCGGCTCCAATGAATCCACCGGACATCGAAGCAGCACACACAGATCTTACTATAAATGTCAATCCACCAACGACGGAAGAAATTAGAATGGCCGTCAGACAAATCAAGAACGGGAAAGCAGCAGGACCCGACAACATACCAGCTGAAGCACTGAAATCAGACATCGAAGTAACTACAAGCATGCTTTACCCTCTATTCAAAAAGATTTGGGGAGAGGAACAAGTGCCAATGGACTGGAAAGAAGGACACCTCGTCAAGATTCCAAAGAAAGGAGATCTGAGCAAATGTGAAAACTATAGAGGCATTACACTACTGTCAATACCAGGGAAAGTCTTCAACAGAGTGTTGCTGAACCGGATGAAGGATGCAGTAGACGCCCAACTTCGAGATCAACAAGCTGGATTCCGTAAGGATCGGTCGTGCACAGACCGAATTGCAACACTACGGATTATCGTCGAACAATCAGTTGAGTGGAACTCGTCACTATACATCAACTTCATTGATTATGAAAGGGCATTCGACAGTGTAGATAGGAGGACATTATGGAAACTTCTTCGACACTACGGAGTTCCTGAGAAGATTGTCAATATCATCCGGAATTCATACGACGGACTACAGTGCAAGGTCGTGCATGGAGGACAGCTGACAGATGCATTCTAAGTAAGGACCGGAGTCAGACAAGGCTGTTTACTCTCTCCCTTCCTCTTTCTTCTGGTGGTCGACTGGATTATGAAGACCTCAACATCTGAAGGAAAACACGGAATACAATGGACAGCTCAGAATCAATTAGACGATTTGGACTTCGCAGATGACCTAGCCCTCCTATCACGTACACACGAACAAATGCAGATAAAGACAGCCAGTGTAGCAGCAGTCTCTGCATCAGTAGGCCTCAGTATACACAAAGGGAAAACCAAGGTCCTCAAATTCAAAGCGGAGAACAGCAATCCAATCACTCTTGATGGCGAAACTCTGGAAGATGTAGAATCCTTCACATACCTGGGAAGCATCGTCGATGGACAAGGAGGTTCAGATGCAGACGTTAAGGCGAGGATTGGTAAAGCAAGGGCCGCATTCCTACAATTGAAGAACATATGGAACTCAAAACAACTTTCAACCAATATCAAAGTAAGAATCTTCAATACGAATGTCAAGGCAGTTCTACTGTACGGAGCTGAGACTTGGAGAACTACAACAACCACCATCAAGAAAGTACAAGTATTTATAAATAGCTGTCTACGCAAGATACTCAACATCCACTGGCCAGATACCATCAGCAATAGCCTTCTGTGGGAGAGAACAAACCAACTTCCAGCTGAAGAGGAAATTAGGAAAAGACGATGGAAATGGATAGGACATACATTACTCAAATCGTCAAACTGCATCACGAGGCAAGCCCTAACTTGGAATCCTGAAGGGAAGCGAAAAGAGGAAGGCCAAAGAACACATTGCGTCGGATAATAGAAGCAGATATGAAAACGATGAATTACAACTGGACGGAGCTAGAAAGGATTGTCCAGGACAGGGTTGGATGGAGAATGCTGGTGAGCGGCCTATGCTCCTTCACGAGGAGTAATAGGCGTAAGTAAGTAAGTTTGATCTCGTCTGTAGTCATGAGTTCACAACTGATATGACGGGAAGAAAAGTCAAAATTCGATTGATTTACTCATTATGAGTTTTGTTCAACATTATTTCCGTTTCGATTCAATGTGATGATCATTCAGTGTAGTATTTGTTTTCTTTTCTCGTATGATATTCTGTATAATATACCATATTCTTGTATTCCATTGACATGAACTATGCTCAGTATATGATTGGTTATTTTTTATATATGTGATTTTATCCTAATTATTAATCAAAGTGTATTTTCGACTAAAGTTGTCTTCATCGTGTTTTGAGGGTCAATAAACCTTCACTTATACCAGTGTTTTTACCTTCGCGTCGTGGAGATTGCAGAGGTCCCTCGTTTCGAGTATAAGTGATAAGTTTCTGACATAACAACCAGCGACGACCAGATATAAAACGTAGCATTAAAAGAGCCAAGACAATCAGCATTCAACTGACAAGTTATAACAACAACACTACAGAAAAGTTACAAAATCCATCATCTTTCTAATGGTTCTTCAGCTAACTAATATTAATTTGTGGCCAAACTTATCCTCAAATATGCAAAAAACTATTCTAATTTCCGTTAAAATAGAAATTCTACAAATAGATAATCCCATTTACCTCCAATTCATTCTAAGACCTAAACAACCTTAGGTTTAGTAGCCGCCATATTCGTAGCATAAGCATATGTATTTTGATAGTTTACATCACGGACTGATTTCAGTTACATAAAAATTGACAATCAGAAGGCACTGAGAAGCCTTTTCGTCTTAGTGTGGGGCTCTTCAGCAGTGAGTATACACGATGCAGCCCAGGATCAAAGTCAGGGCCTTCAGGTTTCATGGCTGGTCGGTACCAATGGTACACATCACTAACACCAATCAGCTCGAGACATTATGCGACTATTTTCCATTCCCTGTGGTGCCTTTACACCTGCATCACATCCTCATCGTTTATCGGTGATGTCCAAGTATGTGAAAGTTTTCACCTTTTCCAGAGCTTCTTCATCAAGTGTGATTAGGGTTAGTGTTCCCCGTGTTGTATTTGACAATCGTGCTTTCTCCCTTGTGCATGTTGAAGCCTACTGATGCAAAAGCTGCGGGTGTTACATTGATTGTCTTCACCTGCATTTGTTGCTACGTATGATATAGAAGAGCTAAGTCACCAGCCAAGTCCAGGTCGTCTAGTTTCCTCAAAGCTGCCCATTATATGCCATGCTTCCCCCTGAGATTTGAAGGTCTTCATAATCCAGTCAACCACCAGAAGAAAGAGAAAGGAAGAGAGTAAACAACCTTATCTGACTCTGACTCTTGCTTGGAATGCATCTGTCAGCTGTCCTCCATGCACGACCTTGCACTGTAGTCCGTCGTATGAATTCCGGATGATCTTGACGACCTTCTCAGCTACTCATTCCATAGTGTCAAAAAAAGTTCCGTAGGATATTCCTATCCACACTGTCAAACGTCTTCCCATAATCAAGGGAGTTGATGCGTAGTGACGAGTCCCATTCAACCAATCACTCAACAATCATACGTAGCACTGCGATTTGGTTTGTGCACGAACGATCCTCATGGAATTCAGCCTGTTGATCTAGAAGTTAAGTGTCTTCTAAATACTTCATTCGGCTCAGCAACACTCTATTGAAAACCTTTCCTGGTACCGATAGTAGTGTGATGCATCTGTAGTTCTCACACTTATTCCGATCTCCTTTTTTTGATATATTGATAAGGCATCCTTCTTTGCAGTTTATCGACACTTGTTCTTCCTCTTAAATCTTCCTCAATAGAACGAGGAGTATCTTTGCAGTTGCTTCAATGTCTGGCTTCAGAGCTTCAGCTGGTATATTGTCAGGTCCTGCTGCTTTTCCGTTCTTGATATGTCTGATGGCCATCCTGATATCTTCCGTCATTGGTGGAGTGACATCTATCAGAAGGTCTGTGTGTGCTGCTTCGATATCCGGAGGATTCAATGGAGCTAGCCTATTCAAGAATTCCTCAGAGCGATCTACCTGCCAGTTTCTCTGTTCTGGAATCTCAGTGGTTGGATTGTCTTCTTTATCCTTGACCGGTCTCTCTAGTTTACTGTATTTCCTAGCCAGTTTCTTCGTTGTATCATATTTCTTTCTCTTACAGCTTTTTCCGCTGTTGCTGCTAGCTCTCCCACGTATTTCTCCTTGTCGGCTCTAATGCTTTTCTTCACTCTCTTGTTTGCTTCTGAGTATTCAGCTTGTATCTTGACTTCCTCTGTTCTTATTTGACTGGTATTAATTACTGTCTTCTTGTTCTTTCTTTCTTAAATCTTGTCCAGGGTTTCCATAGAAATCTATTCCTTATGATGATGCTTCTTGAGACCCAGAACCTACTGACACGTTGAAGTTAGTGCATCTTTGATCCCTTTCCAGTTGTCTTCCATAGTAGTTTCTTTCAGTAGATCCTGTTGTTGAGAATTATCTTGAATTCCCTGAGTTTGTTAGTATCTTAAAGGAAGGCTGTATTGAAACTTTGTAATCCTGTTCCTCTAGTTGTCCACTGTTTTTTAGTTTTAGTTTCATCTTGACAACTATCAAGTGGTGGTGATCTGAAGCTATGTCGGCTCAGCTCCTGGTTCTCACGTCTTCCATTGACTTTCTGAATTTTTTAGTGGTGCAAATATGATTGATCTGTTCCTCTGTAGTGTGATTCAGTGACACCCATGTAACATTGTGTGTGCGTTTGTGGGGGAATATTGTACTGTCTATAACCATTTTTCGGAAGGCACATAAATTTGCAATTCTGTCACTATTCACGTTTCTTTTTCCCAGTCCATGTCGTCTCATGATATCTTCATATTCGGTGTTGTCCATTCCGACTTTGCTTTTAAGTCTCCCATCTGGATCATCAAGTCCTTTCTTGAGCACTTCGCTATAATCGATTGTAGCCTCTAATTAAATTGGTCTTTATCGTATTCATTACTATAATTGGTGGGTGCATAATACTGAATAACATTCCTTGTGATTCCCTCCTTCTTTGTTTTGAAGAATGCTTTGATGATCCTGGGTGTATGGTATGAGATTCCCATCCTACAAGTACTTTAAGTGCTACTTTGGACAGCATCAGAGCAACTCCCTGAGTGTGCGGGGCATTTTCCGTATATTTTAGGCTAGACAATAATTTATTTAACACAAATACTAGAAATCTACAAACAGGATAGAGATCACAGTGAAATCAATGATAAAAAGGAATTCACAACATTAGTGTCACAAAGTTTAACAAACTGTGTTTGTTTATTTTTGTCCACTGGCCAATTACATCTCACCTCCACTGGTCATACATAAAAAAGTACTGAACTACATAATGATAATGCAACAAGCTAACAGTTCTATCGGTTTCTTTTCTTTTTCAGCACAAAGAAATGTTGATATACATTATAGAACTCTATGTGCAAAAACATTGAATGGTTTATTTGCAATCTTAGCGAAAGATAATTCATACTTTCAAGAAACAGTCAGTCGCTCAATGTTCTGTAGTTCTATCATCCTCAGATATTCCAAGTTTATTTAAGAAATATACAGTATTGTAGATAACTATGAGATAAGGACTTTCGAAGTTACTTTTCTACGATTATATATATCGCATATTTGTTAAGTATTTTGGTTTTATTATTTTCGTATTACTCTTGTTCCAAGCTTTTAATTGAACCGTAAATTATTGCTATGTCATTTTACATTTATAAACCAGAACCGATTATTTGTGTACCCAGTACTCCGTTTTTCTCACCAATTATGTGGTTGTTCCGTCTTAATACTGTTACTCAATTGGTCTGCTTTGTGGTCTAGTCTTGCATTTATATAAATGAGTATCTAAAATATGAAGACGATTTTTAACTAGTGATCATTGGTCTTGTATCATTCCTCTTCGTTCAAGGCTAGTTAGTCTTAAGCCGACCGTCAGATATAGAGTATCGATCTCCCTCTCATTTGCTGTGTATTGGTTACTTAAGGTCGTCGATGCGTATCGGTAGGTTGTAAGCCATAAAATACAATTACAATCAATGTGATACCTAGCAATGATTGAACTTAATTGTTTTGAAAAAATATAAGTGGAAATAAGAGAATTTCAACTTGTCTTTAGAACATATATCATGATCGGCGTACACACAGTGAAACTAACGAACCAGCAAAACTGAAGTCAGGTGTAACGTTTCAAAATAAGATAAATAAGCTAGCTGATATAACATTGAGAATCTGGACTAAATGAGAATGATGTAGTATTTATCTAACAAATCGAGTATTTTGAATTGTGGCGTCGATAACGAAAGTAGACTGGTCCATTCTAAACAGCGATACTACATATCAATAATATGCACTTATTGATAATTATATTTCATGTTTTGTTTAGCTGAATAATGAAACAAAAGTTAGTTAATTCACTAGAATGCAATATTTAATATTAATAAGTTGATCAGTTCGACTGCTACATTAAAAGTGAACGCAAACAGTAGTATGAACTTTTACACAACATTAAGAATAACAATATTTATTTATCCTTGCAACAACAGAATGTGCTTTAGAATATGATGTGGGATAAAGAGAGAGACAGAGAGAGATAGGAAAAGTGGTGTCCGGAAGCTTACAAAGTTACACGTATTCACTGCTCTACAAAAATGGACAACTAACTAATCAATAAGACATTCATTTCACTTCAATTGCCAAGTAAAATGAAAGCCTGCTATACAAATATTATTTATGTTTAACTTACTTCACGGATGAAATTATCCAATTTGCCAACAACAGATGATACTTCACGTAATCTCATAAGAATATCGTCAAGTCCTTGACATGATTTACGGTGAGAAGGATGTCCAAATAAACGATTCAATAAAACAATAGCCACTTTAAATAATATGATTTTACCTAATAAGATGATTTTTTGAAATAGAAAACAATAATAATTAATCAGTAAGTTTTAGAAAGTGTTTTAACAACTTATTTTAAGCTTAAAAAAGAAAGGAATAGATGTACTGAAAAAGTGGATAGTAAGAATTCATCAGTGCATCGTCATCCTTCGTCTTCAGAGTTGTTTACCAATTTATTTATAAATCATTTCGGTCCACGTTGTTGAATGGCAATCAGTACACACACATAACAACAACAATGATATTACAAAAAATGTGAAAATATAACTAGTTAGGCATGTATATGGAGCTCATGGATCGTAAGACTATAATTATTTTGAAAGTCGTTCATATATTTTTGTAAAATAACGAGTATTTGAGTGAACAATTGTTTTCAATAACTTCTTTAAGCTCTATACAGTTAGAAATATCTAAATATTAGGACGGCGGTTCAACGAGTTAGAGAATCCAGCATTTAACCACTAAACCTCAGACATTAAAGAGGAAGAATATATTTGTAAAATCGAATGTAAATTTATATTCGATAATTTTGATGTTTGATTAAATTTCCCTGAAAAAGCTTGGACCGAATTGCCAGGTGACATGTTGGATTTACTTCAAATTCATTCGCTAAGATTTTACAAATACATTCTTCCTCTTTAATATCTCACATCAAATCAGTGCCCAAATACTGTGAAACTATTCGATCAAATTTAGACGAAAGTTCGCATATACTAAACCACAGATCCGAACTCCCACTCCACCCTACTTCTGTTTGGGGTATCGGATAGTATCACTTAGCTATTGTGCTTGAAGTGTGGCTCAAAGCCAAATGCACAAATTTGTAGCTGGTAAAGGAGTTGAAAAAGAAAACAAAACGAAAATATTGCATCACAGCATACAGTTTAATTTGGGTATACATAACAAAGTTATCATTGAATTACTTGGTGTTCTCAATTTAGAATATTGAATTAGAATGCCGAATATATCTTAAACACCTTCAAACTGTGAAAGATGGTATTAAAAAAGAATAAGAAATAGATAATGCAATATTTAGATGAAGATTATCAATAAAATGACTACGTAAGAAAAGAATGAACACATCAAAACCCAAAAATCCTTTTAAGGCTAAAAGAAGGCGGGCGTTCTATTTCCGTACGCACGAGTCTATCTGGTGACTTCTGGATTCACAAATAGAAAAACTGGTAGAAGAATTTAATGGATTAATAAATTATTTATGATTTGTTCACACTTTATAGTATTATATTTCTTCCCCATAATCTCTATTTACAATAGCTGTCTTTTGATTGGCTAACAACAACGGGCTAAAATTGGCTGCAACTGTTTTAAGCTCTCCCTATACTGTTTTCCAATAAAAATGGAACATTCAATTTGTTCTTTTATTGTTTCTATGGTTTTTTTGCTGTTGATTTCATCTTCCGTTCTGTCAAACAATTTTATTTATCAGTTAATGACCATGTACCTAAATCTATTCAAATCAATAAGCAGATGTTTATAGGTATCAATGCCAAGGTTGAACATGATAGTTTCACATAAATTAATAAGCAAATATGTTACTCCCATTAACGTTAGTGGCAAATGTTTCAGCAGTATGTTGGCGATTACTTCTAGTACACAATTTTGTATCTAAAACTAAAATTAATCTGCTAACCAATAGTATTAGAATGAACAAAACAATGTGACACTCTTGAAGAGGTGTATTAGAAAACATTTAATCCGGAATCTAGAAAGGTTTGTCATTAACTATCTCAGTATGGAGGATATTTTCATCAGAACATTTGTGTTATAAGTTTCAAGTAGTTAAACAATTTTTCCACAGTTGAAAAAATTATTTAACGTTTAAATTTTACACAAAAAATGTTGATTTACTCTACAAAATACAAATAACCATTTGTTAGTAACTTTTCAACATACACAATAGAACAAAGAGCATAATATTAACATCGACCAGAGTTTTAAGGATGAATCATCCACTTATGTAAAACACAAAAGAAATAATAAAAATTAGATGCGTTTTTTGCATGGGCGTGAATATACAATAGAATAATACTAATATATTTTTCTAGAAAGGATAAACAGTGATAAGTTGGACGGAGTACCTTTGTACACACACATTAAATGTATCATTTTTTCTTCACAAAGATGAATGAGGCTGTAATATTAGTATAGACAGCTTGCACTATGATATATTAAGCAAGGTGACTCTACTGAAAAACGACAGTCGATGACGAGACAAAGAAAACTCCCGAAAGATATGCGAATGAATTACAACACTTATGAATTATTGGTCATATTTTATACACTACCATGTTTACCTAACGACAAGATGATTTACGGCAAAATAACTCTTATAATGTTAGGTTTTAGTCACACGATTACATCTGATAAAGGCAGATCACTAGAGAATTCTTCCATTGATACGTTTAAAAGAAAGTTGAAATAATGTTAGTTCCAATTATTGGGCACAATTTCCTTTTAGTGTTTTGATAATGAGTCAGAATCTGTTAAGATATAGGTTAGATAAATATTCCAAGTTAATGTCTGGTCATAAGTGGCATACTACTACTACTACTACTACTACATCGGTTTCATAAAATGGGATAATTTACCACAGCACAACAATATTCAAGTTGGATTATTAGCAAAAACTTAATGAACCGACATACTATTTTCCCCACAAAAATACTGACTGGGTTTCGGCAAGATGGTGAAACACCGAAGCACTGACTGTGCGATCTGAGATTGACATGTTTAATTTTAAGTTGTTTTCAGATTGTACAGTTCTGAAAAAGTACAAAGTCAAGGAAAATCACCTATATGTTTTCTTTAAATGTAACATTAGTTTAAATCTATCATAGTGTATTTTAAATAATGCTGAATATGACTTATTTATTCTTTAAGAACTTATCAATAAAGAAAGTATCACCCGATTTTTTCGAGTGTATTAGTTGAAGAGTAGATAATATTTCGTTCACCTGTACACGTTCATTATGATTCTAATCTAAAAGCGCTGGAGACAAGGGTACACGCATTGTTAAATTAGTTTATAATGAAGCTAAATATGCAAGCTCAATCACATATCTGAGCCTTTTCAGACATCTTGTTTAATCAAAATTCTATGGTAATAATTTAAATTACTGTGAGATATGAATATACACGGTATTTAAACCTGGAAAATGTATAAATTGAGAATAATTTTAGATATTGGAATACATTAAATCAGGACAACAACAAAAAACAATGAATATATTGCCGAATATATATTTTTTTAAAAACCCATCTGGGTTGAGAACTGTGGAAACGATACTTTTCAGTCTTGAGGCATATTTATTCTCACCACAAAATGAGATAGTCCTATACAGATTTTTTTCTTTCTACTCTGACAGTGAATTTTGTCACAAAATGACAATTGCTAAAGAATTATGGAAAATTAACAAGCATTAAACTTTTGTTTCACTTGTTATTTGAGGAGCCATTCCTTAATAGTGTGCATTCATGACATGTAAACGATAAATGCTTGAACTGTTTCTATATGATGTTGAAGTGGTTACCAATAAAATAAAGCTAAAATTGAATATTCAGATTACACAATAAATCAAGGACAAGTAATGGTTGTGGTAATAGTAGTAGTCGATAATTTTCTAATTTTATATTTATTGCAGTATACGCGTTGTGCACATCTGAATAACAGAAATCACTATTGTCCCAAAACTGGGCAATTAAAAAACAGTATTTCTTAATCCTTTTTTTATTTACCACTAACATAACAACAAATAGATTATATAGACGAAATGATTTATAACCACAATATGTGGCCAACTGTTACCGGAGAAAAATTCAAATTAGATGAAAAGGTATCATGAAGTTAGAAAAGTACATCACTAGATGCTCACCCAGTGATAAAAAGGTTAAGTGCTCACCACAGAACTCAAACGTTTTGAGTTCAGTCCCAGGTGGTCGGTCTGTAGATGGGTACTGTTGAACAGTGCCATATTTTATATAAATTTTGGTACAACAGATTACCCAGAAAATATTATGCGCCACATGAATAAAGAGATATTGTTGTAAAGAAGGGAATGAAAGTGGAATCAAAAAAAGAACAGATGAAGAGGTCAGTCAGTCAGCTACAACGTAGGACCAGGCACATATATGCATCGGTCCAAGTTGCCACACCTCATTATCACAAAAAGATGAACACCAAATTCATAAAAGTAGTTAATTCAGAGGTGGTAATATATAAAAGAAAGATTGCATACAAGGATATAGTACAGGAAGAAGGAATTAGTTCGTACAAAGATATGAAGCGATTTTAATCTCGTATTTTAAGGGAAGACAGAGAGTGTATACACCGACGCCATTGTGATCGATTCTGAGCCATGTCACCAAGAGTCTCCAATCATTGGTTACGATAGTCACGCGGACCCCAACCAAGTAGTCTACATCTACCAACATGACTAAGACTAGAAGTTAGTGACTTCAATCACTGATGCCACGTTTTGGTTTGGCCGCCCCTAACTTTCTTCCAGCCATCTCCAACACCGGTTAACATTGCACGTCGTGGTAATCGGTGTTTGGGCATATGTAACACGTGGCCCAACCATCTCACTTGATGAAGATTCACAACTTCATTAACTGATTTACCATCATTCCTTAACACCCTGTGTCTAGCCTCACTATTACTTACCCGGTGATCCCAGCAGACGCCAGCAATATTTCTAAGGCATCTGTGGTCGAATACTAGTAGCTTACGAGTGTCTTCTACTCTTAATGGCAATGTTTCGCTGCCGTAAATTAAAACAGAACGGACTGCTGCGCAGTATACTCGTCCTTTTATTGATAGGCGGATATCTCGCCTTCGCCATAGGTGACGCAAGTTGGCAAAAGCCAAACGAGCTTTTCGAATCCGTGCTGAGATTTCGTCCGATACCAACCCATTAGGGCTGATCAGACTTCCAAGATAAGTGAAGTTGTCAACGCGTTCGACTACTTCACTCCCTA